CTTAGCGGCGACCTTCCCACGCCTTCCCCGCGCTAAGAGTACCTCCCGCGCCTACTAGTTCCCCCCGCGCCACGCGCTCCCCTCTAGCCCCATGGGTTAGAACCCGCCTTGCTTAACTACTTTGATATTTTATGATGTATTACACAGACATAAGTGGAAATGTATTAATTGTATTTAAAAACTTTTTACGATTTTGCAAAATTCTACGGCGCTTTTTGCTTCAATGTTGAATAACTCAGTTAAAAGAAAAATTATAGAACGTTCATCAAAAAGCAAATTAAAGATAAAGATTTAATCTTTCCCGTAACTGCATTTGTGCCATTTTTAATTCGCGCTGTGAAACTTATTCGCACACTTCATAAAAAGTTTTGAGATTTTATGCATCTCCATTTATGTCTGTATAATTCTATAAAATATCACTAATTTTAAACATATATCTCGTTACGATGATTTCTGATGTACTTATCTTATCTTTAAATTTGTCTATTTTTAGAGGATAGAACAGCTCATATTTTAATTTAATCAACTAGTATATAAAGTATTTTATTATATTTATAAATGCAATTATAATTGTTTATATAAAATAGAAACATAATAACATACTACTAATAGTGAAATTAATACAAATATAAACACGAAAAAATAATTATATATATATATGTATTTATATATATATATAGTCTAAAACTAATTTTTTAAATAAGTATATATACTAATTTGCAAAAATACGGGTAACTAAAATTTAGGACAATTTTTTTAAATCTTTCAATATAACTTAGCAAAAATTGTATTGAGACGAATAATAGCTCAAATTATATGAAAATTTCTCTTGACAAAGGAGAAAATCGAAAATGAGTTACAAAAATTTTTTTTAAATGATGAGCATTGAGGATAGATCTTTTTATAAAATGTGGAAAACTATTTTTTTAACTATATTGCGCTACTCAAGGGAGTAAGCTATTTAATACAAAAATTATGTTTTTAAGTTCATTTCTTTCTTAATAAATCAATATTTTAAATATTTCTCAACAATTTTAAAATAAAGTTATATCATTTTGAGAACTGCAATGTTACAAAATCGCCTTTTTTTCTAAAATCTATAATTCAAATACAAATTATCGTATAAAATTTTTATCAAAACGATAATTAAAATATAAACTTTCAATTTTTAAATCTTCTTTCTTTCTTCTCGATAAGATGATATGAATTGTTCAATTTAAAAAAAAAATTTCCTTAAAAATCGTTATATAAGACCATGTTTAAAAAAAACATTGAAAATAAAAACATATTCTTCAAGAATATGTATGGTACGTTTTTTTAGGATTATTTGATTAAATTTAGTACTTATGTTCTTTAACCTATACAGTAATGCACACATTTCTCTGATTCAAACAAATATTTTTTTAATCGAAGAAACTTTTCTCTAAATGTATCGCTATTGGAAAATGTTAAAAAATTATGTTAAATTTTAAAGGATCGCTTCTTTTGTATATGTTTCAAACTGATTTTTATATAAATGTATATACAGAATATATAGTTTCAATAATAATCCCTAAATATTATAATTTCAGTTTAATAGTAAAGAATATTCTTTATATATAGCAATATTTAATTTCTTTAATGTTTATGTTTCAATAAAAAAAATATAATTTGCCCACAAAATGTGATATGTATTTTGTGCGTGCGTGCATGCGTGCGTGCGTGCGTGCGTGTGTGTAATATAAAGAAATTGATTTAAATTGACATATCGAAATATTTAAAAAGTACATAAAATTAATAAAAATATTTTAGATAAAGTTCTAGGAGAAGAGTGTTTAATTCAAAACGGAAATTAAGATGTAACATCTATTTTTCATTATCCATGTCTCAATTGTATTAAAATCATCTTAAATTTTTTAAATGAAATATGTTTTTCTCTGAATTGTGTTGCGCACACGGAATGTGATGATCAAATATTTATAACATTTATTATAAAATTTATTACAATAAAGGAATACAGATCTCAATATTTGTATTACATAAATATACACAAAAGACAATTTCGATCGTATTTGATGTCTATATAATAATGCGTTGAAAAGTAACACGCCATTATTAAAGTAATTAAAATAGTAATATGTTATTATGAAATTGATTTAAATAGATTAATAGATCATCAATTTAATATTACTAATGTTATTATATAATGCTATTTTGCTTTCTGTAAATTTTTTAATTAATAATATTTACTCATATATATGTATATATATAAGTTTATTTATAAAAATTGTTAAGACGATTCAACTTGAGTGATGGTCAAAAAATAGATTTGTCTTGCCTTTAGCTTGTGGCTATGTTATTAATAATACAATTTATGTACTATAAAACTTAATGTAATAGGAAATTAAAATACATTGCTTCAACAACAGATTTAAACAAGTTGAAAAATGTTAATTTTTTACTGAACTATAATATATAAACAAATGTGTTGTTAAAAAATTATTTACAATTAATATTATTTCTTAATTTCTATAAAATGATTATTTGATCGGTATCATGGCTTTTTTGAAAATAATAGTTTTCAATAAAATGGCAACTATCTAAAATTAAACAATATCTTTTTATTTTTAGACCGTATATATGAGGAACAGAATCAATACTAGAAATTTAAAATGCCTATTACGGTCAAAGCTGGATCTTAGTTGCTTTTTAAATAATTCAATCTTGAATTATTAATATACACTATATATGTACTTGCATATATACCATATTGTAGTCTTTTTCACACACACACACACACAAACTGCGCGCCGAATTATTTTTCCGGACTAAAAATAAACGCAATTAAAACTACTCTAGTAATCGCGAATTAAATTGACAAACAATTTAATAATTTTGATGCTACCATCAAGCATCATATATTATAAAGATGTTAATATATTAAAA